TCTCATTTCTACTGAAATGAAGGCCATTAATGTTAAAATAGACGTGTCCTTTTATAAAAGAATCACGTGATCTTTGAAAACAGACATGGCTGTTAGTAGCGAGCTTGTATTTGCCAAGCCTTTGGTGGCTTTGCTGGCTTTGGAAGATGTTTTGAAGGCATGGTGGACCCACTTTGCAGGCCTAGCAGGAGCCAGAGACCCTTTCAGAGCCAGCTGGCTCCACAAGGTCTTAACCTGGCCCTGGGTGGGCAAGGGGAGGTGTGGAGCGGAGGGGCTGAGCGTGCTCAACTACTGTGGGAACGGCTCATTACGAAGCGTAGGTTGCGAAAACGAAGTAGCACCGTTCCTCTTTGGAGGCCCTGTCCTGTGCGGGGCCGTAGGTCTGGGGTGGCTGTGGGAGGGGGATCCATCCCGCACCACCTGTCCAAGAGCACCGAGAGGGGAATCGGGTGAGAGACAAAGATGTGAGCTTCGTTTGGTAGCTTCAGGTACGACACTTTTCAAGCCTTCAGGCTTCGCTTCTGAAAGCGTGTGCTGGGCTGATGGCCGCGGCTCTGGTGGCAGGGTCGGTGCTGGTGCGGAGGGGCGGGAGGGTGGCTCAGGCTTTGGTCCCGGCTTGTGGAGGAGCTGCCTGCTGAGGGTGGGATGGAGACCGTGACTTCAGCTTGGACGGGCTCCTTGCACCGATGATGGTAACGTAGATCCAGCCGTGCCCAGGGCAAGGCTTCGGGAGATAGAAAGCTCTTCTTCGTGTAACTAAATCTGCGGGTTTTACAGCCTCTGCAAATAATCTCCTTTACAGCTGGCAGCACGGCGTGTGTAGAGATGGTGGCAGCTCTCCTCCGTACAAATGACTAAGTTGGACTTCGGGCTTTTGTTTTGGCTGGCAGAGTGAATCGCTTCCTGCGTTCTTTTTCCAGAGCAGCGTTGCGTTTGCTGCTGCGGGGAGAAGAACCCCCCTTCGCGTGCCCGGGGCAGCGGCCTGCGGTGGGAGGGCGGCTGCTGGTGCCGGCGGGACGGGGCTCCTGCAGCGCTTGAGGTGCTGCTGGTGAAGTATTTGGTTTTGCTTTCCATTTCAGTTCTGTCTTCTGCTCGAAGGCAGACTTGGCAAACCTGCCCCATTTATCACTTCTTTAAAAGGGAACTATTTCACTGATGTTTTCCTTAAGCAAGTTGGTCCAAAACCACACTTGGAAGTGCTGTGCCTGGCATGGGTGTCTCCTGAAGTACTGTGCTGTCTGCTTGGATGGTGCTGCCGTTTGCTGGATCTCCTGGAGTTCTTCATGCCTTGTGGGCTCGGCGTGAGCCGCGGTAAATATTACCGTCCGCAGGCCCTGTAGAGGGAGAAGGTAAGAGTTTGTCGAGATGTTGATGCTGCAAATGGCCTCTGCCATGTGGTAGGGGCGTTCTTCACGTATTTTTAGCCTTCCTCTTACACGTGTGTGAATACATCGTGAACGTGTCGGTAGTTTGCAGACCGAACTTGCCCAAGGTTGGTGGCGCGTGTGGCGTCTCTCCTGCCCCGCTCCTGAAGGTGAGCAGTGGTGGACCTGACCTGCCGCAACGTGACACCTCGCAGGCCAGCTCGGCCACCCCTGCGTGCCCGGCAGCTTTTGGGCTTCTGTGCCAAAGGCCTTTGGCCTCAGGCTGAGCTGGGAAGGAGAGGTGGAGCACTGGCCATCGCCTGTCCAGAATCAGCCGGCAGCTCTTCTGCGACTCCGCTATGGGGGCAAGTATGGCTTTTGTGTATTCCTGCCTCTGGAAGTAAAACCAGTGCCCCGTCTGTCACTTCGTTTAGAAGTGGGAGACTTCATTTGATCACCTGCATCCACCTTCAGGACTTCACCCGACTTGCATGTGGCTGTGCCTGGGCCCAGCAGTGTCCACCACCCAAGGCTGATGGCGTCTTCAGGTGCCCCACCGCAAGGGCCTAGGACCCGAGCTTTGGGAAGGTATTGGGTGCTCCCTGCGATGTCCGCTGGCAGCACTGCAGATGTGGAGCCCTTGGTATCTCCGGCTTCGTATGAGCAAGCCACTGTTTAACGCAGAGGCTGTTATTATTTTAGCTTTCATTTCTATATCTTTACAACAGGATTTTAGAGCCTCATCACACAGACGTTGCAAGCCGCTAGTTGTTTTGCAGAGATCTGTGAAAACTTGTAGAAAACATGTGAACAGCTGTTTTCGGTAAAAATAAATCGTATTGGGGTGTCTGCACCAACAAGAGGTGTCTGCTTAGGCCTTGATTTTTTTTTATTCCTGCTCCAAGCTGTGGTGTGGTGTGCTGGTTAATGTCTGCATAGATTCTAGGAGTTATTTTCATTAATAAACTTCTTGAAAGACTTTCTCCTATTTACAATGCTCTTCTGTGTTTTGGGGTTGGCTTTTTTTTTGGTTGTTGTACAGCTGTTGGTTCAAAGGTTGTTGCACGTTGCATAACGCTGCTAGAAAGCGGGGCGGGGGAAGAAACTCATTGGCAAACTTCCTTCCTTGTTAATTAAGGTGACATTAAGAGTCTCTGGGTTAGGACTCCATGGTGGCTGTCACCATGCACTGCAAGAATCAAATTTTTATATACTGAGTCAGGCTTATCAATCCACTGTACTCGTTCTCTCTAAATAGGACTTGCTCTTAATTTTGGTTCTACCCTGAAGTTACAAAATCTTGCTAAAATTGGAGTGCAGTAACAGATACAATTTGTTTTTTTTCTGCCAGCCACTGAATCTGCGCTGTAGGATTTCTGGATTTTTACACATTTCCAAGTACCGATGTAATTTTAGAGGGAAACAGTTCTCCGCAGGGCGACTGTACTATGCTCTCTGTGGAACTTCGCTTTCCAATTTGCCTGGCATGTTGTTCAGAAACAAATTGCTTGCATCCCTCCTACCTAGACTCCCATTTAAGAGGTGCCATCTGGCAAATTTCAGGTCTGGAAGTAAAAAAGTAACCTCTTGGCCCAGCATTTATATTGGTACGGTCTGTTGAAGTTGACAGTAGGCTTCGGGCTTTCTGAGTGCTACCACAGATAAGTATGTAAAAATATGAAATGAAGTGCAGAAAGGGTCTCATCTTGTACCATGCATGGAGTGGCCGTTCCCGTGTATCAGGTTGTCTGTGGTGTACTGGAAAATACATGCTTTAAGGTGCGGGTCTGAAGGGTTTGCTGCATTCTCTGACTGCTTCTGTAATGGAAACTGGGCTTTCCTTCACCCTCTACTTAGGCTTTTTTAACATCTGCTGGTTTTAAGGTCGTTTTTCCAACCAGAGATGCTGGAAGTGGAATTATATGGAATTATAATGTCTTGAGCGAGGCTACGAACCTAAAATAGTGCCTTCAGTCCTTGTTTTCTTGTGCTGCGAACTCTGGAATTAAATGGCAATG